AACATTGTAACCACGTTCTAGATAAGTTCTGCTTGATATTAAGGGAATGTTTTCCTAACTTTAACACCAAAACATGCAGAAAAAGTTCTCAGAAGGTTTTTGTTAACATAGATATAATGTTCCCCAAACTAACGAAAAAAGGGAAACTCAAACATTACGGGAACATTACAGGTAACATTACAAAAACGTTCTCTCTCCCTAGAATTGTTTTTTATTTGTATTTTTTTTATTAATATCAGCTTTAATATTGCAGATAGATTGTGGCTTCTATCAATGTAATTGTCTGCATCATTTTCAAATATTTTCCCCTAAGCCTACCATCCCTCCCCTAATTGAAGTAAACTAATGGACAACAATACGTAGGCTTCCACTTCCAGCATATGCATACATTTCATGGACAGTATATTTTACATAAGTTATCTTTAGTTTATTTTTATTCCCAGCCTTCAGCTACCCTCAACCCCTCCCATCTATCTCTGAAGACCATCCAGTTTTGATTTCTAGCTGCCATATATTTTTCCACTGTGCTGTGATGTTTCACAAAAGTTCTGAACCTTTCTATTCTAATAGTTTCTACAGATTGTAAATGATAAACACATTTGCTAAGAGTATTATTATATTATTGATCAATTTACTATGACTTCAAATCATCCAGCAGTGCTAGTTGCAGAGTTAGCTCCAAGTAAATGTAGAAATGTTTCTGCCATTTCTGAACCTGCGACCAAAAACAAGCAACATCTGGGCAGTACCAAAACAAGTGATCTTATGATTCTGTCTCTTCGCAGCAAAATCTGCAGAGCTGGGATGGTTGTATCCCCCATATATATAACATTTTATTGGTTGCAATATTTTTTTTTTATCAATTAGTATATTTGAGTTTAACCATAATATTTGTTCTAATATTTGTTCTGTCTTTTCTGGTGGATTAAACTGAAATTGCAAACAGCTTTCTATTGCTTGTTTTAAAAATAGTGATATTTTGGAGATTATTTCATTTTCAAATAACCCAAAGTGAGAGGTTGTAATCTGAATGAATGGAAAAAGGCCATTCTTGAACACGGGGTGAGCCATTCTTACTAATCTGCTAGAGAACCAGTTCGGATTTAAGTATAGTTTTTGTTTGACTGAAGCCTTTAGTGAGAGGTCGATTGCTTTAGAATTGTTAGCTGGGGAGACAATTGTTAATGTCTCAAGGTTCGCCTAAAGCCCGGCCCACGCTGGGTACAAGGGCTCTGGTGATCAGTGACGTACCCTGATTTGGCAGGGCACCTGGGGGTACTGTTGTCACAATGAGCATTGCTCGGTTTGGGCATTAAGATGCGTTCCGGTAACCGGCTGGCACCCAGCGCTGGATCGCACACTGTCATGCGGACAGGACAGTGGAGTCAGGGAAATCGAGAGGTTTGCCTTTTGTAACACTGGACTTCCTGACGGGCCGTCCCCAGGTGGTGAAGGTAGGAAACAACATCTCCACTTCGCTGATCCTCAACACTGGGGCCCCACAAGGGTGCGTGCTCAGCCCACTCCTGTACTCCCTGTTCACCCATGACTGCGTGGCCAAGCACGCCTCCAACTCAATCATCAAGTTTGCAGACGACACAACAGTAGTAGGCTTGATTACCAACAATGACGAGACAGCCTACATGGAGGAGGTGAGGGCTCTGGGAGTGTGGTGCCAGGAAAATAACCTCTCATTCAACGTCAACAAAACAAAGGAGATGATCGTGGACTTCAGGAAGCAGCAGAGGGTGCACCCCCCTATCCACATTGACAGGACCGCAGTGGAGAAGGTGGAAAGCTTCAAGTTCCTTGGCGTACACATCACTGACAAACTGAAATGATCCACCCTCACAAACTTTTACAGATGCACAATTGAGAGCATCCTGTCGGGCTGTATCACCGCCTGGTACAGCAACTGCACCGCCCGCAACCGCAGGGCTCTCCAGAGGGTGGTGCGGTCTGCCCAACGCATTACCGGGGGCAAACTATCCGCCCTCCAGGACACCTACAGCACCCAATGTCACAGGAAGGCCAAAAAGATAATCAAGGACAGCAACCACCCGAGCCAATGTTCACCCCGCTATCATCCAGAAGGTGAGGTCAGTACAGGTGTATCAAAGCTGGGACCGAAAGACTGAAAAACAGCTTCTATCTCAAGGCCATCAGACTTAAATAGCATTCACTAGCACATTAGAGGCTGCTGCCTATAGACATAGACTAGAAATCACTGGCCACTTTATGAAATGGAACACTAGTCACTTTAATAATGTTTACATATCTTGTATTACTCATCTCATATGTATATACTGTATTCTATACTATTCTACTGTATTTTAGTCCAATGCCGCTCTGTCATTGCTTGTCCATATATGAATATATTCTTAATTCCATTCCTTACTTAGATCTGTGTGTATTGGGTATCTGTTGTGAAATTGTTAGATATTACTGCACTGTTGGAGCTAGAAGCGCAAACATTTCGCTACACCCACAATAACATCTGCAAAACACGTGTATGTGACCAATAAAATATGATTTGATGGCAGCATGCCTTTTGACAGTTAATCCTCATATCAAACTAGCGTACTTTTACCTGGGGTTTCTGTGTTGCTGGCTCCTGTGCTTAGCTGTCTCCCCAGCTGGTCAAGACATTGTCCTTGGAATCCTCTCTGTTTTGTTGGACTCACAAAACATATACTAATATCATGAGGAAATAAAAGGATGCACCTTCATGTGGATAGGACTCCATTCGAGGCATCCCGCTGTCTGCTAACCTCTGACTGGGACTCACCTGTTGTAGAATCTCCCTGAACCGGTGGAGCTGGGACTCTAGCTCCTTGTTGTGGTACCCCAGGATCTGCATGCGGGTTTCCAGCCTGCCCTGATGGTGCCTCAGGTCCCTGGCCTCAGCCAGCAAGGCCTGGTTCTGGTAGTCCTCCTGGTCCACGGAGCCCTCCCTCAGATGTGGACAGACCTCAGCATGCTGCCACTTCAAATGTCAGTACTCCCCCTACAGTACCTTGGGGGGAATTACACTTTTGTGACCCGCGGCGCTTTGTGTTTTATGTCTACAACTGTGCTCTGATTTGATGGCAGAAGACTCTTGTATTACTCTAAACGCGTTGCAGTTGTGCGTCCTGATGTAAACTATAGGCTGATCGGCTCCTACTTTATGTATTCTTTTGTATATATTATCTGTAAATAGTTCTCTAAAGGTTTCTGTATCGTACTGGCCGCCTACTTGTTTTCTTTCTTAGATCTGAGGTAAACCCATTAAGATTAGATACTCTGGGCCCGGTTTTTCTAAAGTTATCTGGATTTCGCCTATCGGATAGGATTAAATGCATAGAAATAGAATGATTAGAACGGGAGTCCCCATTAAAGTCAATGATTTGTCTGTTCTATTCATTCTGTGTCTATGCATTTAATCCTATCCGATAGGCAAAATCCAGATAGATAACCTTTGAAAAACTGGACCCTGATGGCAGAAATATTTTTATTTGGGTGTGAGTGGACTGACTTCGGTACTCATGATAAGGACATGAGGGTTAGTGACCTCTCACCTGTTCTCATTCTCCAGCATTGCCAGTGTTCTCTGCAGCTCATCCTAGGTCTCACAGCCTGTATAACCCAGGTAATGGACAGAATGAACTATGCGAACGTGAGGAAACCTGAGTGAAGCTAATCTAATGTTCTCTAAGGACACAGTCTCATCTTGTCGTATCGTAAGAGCTTTATATGATAAACTCACAGGCTCTCAGTGAAGAAGGAGCAGTTCTGGTTCTCCATCTCAGCGAGTCTTGAACAGAAGCAGAAGCAGAAGTGCAAATCCAGCAGTGTTAACATTACAAAGGGGGAACACTAGCTGTTGCTGCTAAGTCAGGTTTATGTGCTTTTCTGTAGACACTTTCTTTGGCAGAATTACATTTCTGTGCTTTCTTCACTCATTGCTTACATTTTTATAAACATGATCTGGCAGAGAAAGAGGACATGTCAGACCAAATGTTTTAATATGATTAAGCCCAAACAAGGGAGTCACGCCACGCCACTCCACCATACTCATTAGTGGCATCATGTTCATCTGTGTGGAGAAGATTATTTCAGAGAAAAGGCACATCGTGAGCAGTGCTGCTGAGGGCAGAATATAATGACATATAAAGACTGCATGCATGTATAATGTACAAATTAAAATTAAGGAGTTAGCCTACTACAGATAACTTTTCAACATTTAAGTAAAGGAACTGACAGATGCGTGGCTGAGCTAAACATAACAGTGCCGGGGATAAGGAGTGTCAATCTGTGCTGACAGTCTGGATGTTCTGACCTCCCAGGCTTTAGGACTAATTATCCTCACTCCCTGCCCCCAAGACAGACTGTACATCTGAACTTGTTCTTCAGTGTTTTGGCAAAATCACGCATCCTCTCCCCTGAAGTGGTCTGTTCAGAAATCAGAAAATAACATACATTTCAATTCCATGGAAATATTATAGAATTCATGCTTGGGTGTAGTAAACAATGATGGCATAATGAAATTAGTCTTATGGGTTTATCAGAGTCCAAAGCGTGTACGCGTACGCACAGCAGTGTTCTAGAACAGTGGACCGTTGGCTTTCATACTTTTCGAATTCTCAGCACAGCTCAACAATTTCTCCAACTGTCAAAACATTGAAATGAATAGAGGACAGCTACTGGAGTCGTATTGGTTAGGAATTGTGGAAAGGTGCGCGTTCGGGATGTGCATCCCCCGCTTTGGTGGTCTCAGATGGGACACCGGACTATTGCATCTCAGCGTCTGTGGACTATGATTTACGCTTTACTGGGGTGTACTGTAGTACTCCATGATGGGGTAAATTAAAGCCTTGCCCTTGGTAGTACGCCAGGACAGGAAGCAGCTCTGACAAGTGTCCACATTGAACTGCTTGAGGCTTCAGTATCTGAGGGGAAAGGAGTTAAAATCCCAAACATTATTGACATTCTCTATATGGTTGAAATAGAGTTCACGGAGCACTTGGCCTGGTGTTGGGCGTTCTCTGCCTGGACCACTCACTGCAGCACGGGCAGCCCACCACGGACTGGGGCAGCTGGATGGAGGTTTTCCCATGAGCCTGCAGCCACATGGTTGGGATGAGAGGAGAGGAGGACAATGAGACCACCAGAGATCCTGAGGCAGGGCATATGCTCTCTGGCAGCCTGAGGGCAGTAGTTCCCTTCAGAGACTGACTTAGTAGAGCTGTAGTAAATTACTCTAGCCTCACAGTCATTTATTGCCAGAAATAAGTCATGAAATTGATGATAAGAAATGTTAAAGAAAATTCTCATGAGTCACTAATGTTCATTACTGGACAAAATTATAATTAAAATGTAAAAGGGTTTGAAAGGCACTCCATGTTTAATTTCTTAAGGGCCTACATGAGAGAAATGACATAATTAAGTTGCTATTCCCGTTTGGGTTCCAGTGGTGTGCTCTAATACAGCTGTGGAGCCTGATAAAGCCTGTCTACTATAGTAGCATCCCGATGCTACTGGAGTAAGGGACTGCTGGGTATCTTTCAGGGGTACATAAGAGGACAAATCACATATTTACTACACAAACAGATATGCAAAATGCGTGTGCATGTACAAATACACACAACGTACACAATACGCCAATGTACACATAAGTGTCCCAGTAAAGCCCACACAAGTAAACTGACAGACAGCACAAGGTCAGAGTGACAGAGCCTGTGGTGATTAGCCCTTTCAGATAACACAGCCTATTAAAATGCCATGACCCCTTCAAACAGTTTAGTGTATACTAATCTCAGACATGTCAAGATGAGACTAAGGCAGCAGACATATGACTGACTAATCTATAAGAGTCTATCAGAAACAAGGCATTGATGTCTCACAGTATTCATCATGAATGTTTTACTTTTTACATTATAGGGTTTGAGTTAACATAACTGTCATCATAGATGCTCAGTTTAATAGAGCTCACAGTGTTTAGGCATCTGCATTTCTCCACCATGGTTTATAAATAGCCTCAAATCCTCTGTGACATTAGTCGGCTGCTCACACAATGGATTAAAGTACACCTTACAAATGCATAAAGAATGTTCAAAATCCAGCTTGAAAATAAACAGCATCACATATCAAGATTGGAGGAAATCTAATGACAGTTTCTAACACAGATTGGATTTTACTTCTAGACTTATTTTTGTAATATTGCACAATAACAGGGACTAACATGAGGAAAACCTTGAGCTATACTTAACAGTAGTAGCTAATGCTTAGTTTGACCAACGTAAATCCTAGCTCACCATGCGAAAGCAGCTGGCCATGCTGGGCTCCACGTTGCTCCCTCCGAAGGCGGCCACCTCTCCTAGCTGCCTTGGGATCTGGATGAGCTCCTGGAGCAGGGCACTGAGGTGTTGCTGGTCAGCACATCCACCAGGACCAGACACCTGCCAGAACAAAACATCCTCTCCTTAGGACATAGGACACAGCCAAGGATTGGCATAAATTACAAAATACAACTACAAAATACCCTAAAGACCAAAGTATTGTATTTAATTAAAATACATGTATTTTGTATTTTAAAATAAAAAAATACATCTGCAAGTAGCCGGCCGAACATCAACAACATTCTCAGTAACAGTTACAGAAACGTCTTACTTGCTATGCGTCACGTCTCCTCCCGTTGCTCCCCTCCGGCACTCTGACTCACCGGTCTACTGAGCCACCGGCCTGAGCGTACCACCTTGGCAACACAGGAATGGAAACCCAACGCACCCTAATCACCTCCAGCGCACCTGTACCTCATCCTCTCATCACCACCACTATATAGCCCTGGACTGTTCAGTCATTGTTTTGTGTAATTGTTAGCGTTGTGTCGTTTACTCGCTCCTTATTATTCTCTTTCTCATTGTTAAGTAAACCTTTACCTTGTTGATTCCTGCGTCTGCGTCCTGCCTCTTCGTATCCTCAGTACTCGTCACACTATGACTGTGATATGTTGTTGTTTATCTACATTAGTTGAATGCACTGTCACTCTGGATAAGTGTGTCTGCTAAATGACCTAAATGTATATGTGAAAATGAACAACTGCAATGTACACTGGGTATTGTCATTGGCCTTGTAATACTCAGCATGCTTTGCAATACATTTTTACATATACATTTAGTTCATTTAGCAGATGGATGCTCTCATCACACCATAGTGCCATCAGACTTTTAATACCAATACAGGGTGAAAGGGGGCCACAAAATTGTGAACCGTTATAACGAAATGGTATAAAATACAAAATTACAGCTTTCGAAAGTATCTTGTTACAAAATACATTGGAGTGTAGTTCAGCCCAGTGTAATGCAGCATACAACATTCTCAGAAGTAGGGGAGGCAGAAAGGACACTGGTTTGAATCCCAGAGGAGACTTGTTGAAAAATCTGTCGATGTGCCCTTGAGCAAGGCACTTAACCCTAATTGCTACTGTAAGTCGCTCTGGATAAGAGCATCTACTAAATGACTACAATGTAAATGTAATTAAAATACATATTTCAAATACATGTAACAGAAATACTTCCCATCTCTGGACACAACCTACACTCCTGTCATGCAACAATGAAGTATATATTCATTTAATAATTTACTTGATTGATGACCGTGTGATCTTGCCCTGGGTAATATGGTCCACTAAACTGATCCAAGAATCCCCGCTGAGTGATGTACTGTAGCTAAAGGACCTAATAGAAAAAGAGAGCAAGCCCTGCTGTGGGTCTGACCTGGACTGTCTCTTAGAGGAAGAGAGGAAGAGGCAGAGGGAGATATGTAGATGGAGAGTGAGGAGTGAAAAGGTTTGAGGGACAGAGTGCATTTTTGGGAAGAGACAGAGATTGGGAATGGAAGGGGGTAAAGGATAAAGATTAAGTGGAATGAACTGTAGAAAATTAATACGATTTTACGGTTAGGCAAGTCATATCAGTTGAGCAGACAGTTGAGACATGTCCACAAAGACGGGGATGTTGAGCGTAGGACGCCATGTTTCTCCTCCAGCTGCTCGTATAGGCTGGTCAGAGCATTTCTCACCTCATAAACAATTGCTCAATGTATAAGAGCTTTACAAGGCCATTTTAATGTTCATATTTGATTTATATACAGCACTGAGTGTACAAAATATTAGGAATACCTGCTCTTTCCATGAGATAGACTGACCAGGTGAATCCAGATGAAAGCTTATTGATATCACCTGTTAAATCCACTTCAATTAGTGTAGATGAAGGGGTGGAGACAGGTTAAAGAAGGATTTCTAAGCCTTGAGACAATTGAGACATGGATTGTGTATGTGCCATTCAGAGGGTGAATGGGCAAGACAAGTTATTTAAGTGCCTTTGAACGGGCTATGGTAGTAGGTGCCAGCCGCACCGGTTTGAGTGTGTCAAGAACTGCAACGCTGCTGGGTTTTTCATGCTCAACAGTTTCCAGTGTGTGTCAAGAATGGTCCACCACCCAAAGGTCATCCAACCAACTTGACACAACTGTGGGAAGCATTGGAGTGAACATGAGCCAGAAACCCTGTGGAACGCTTTCGACACCTTGTAGATTCCGGTGCCCTGATGAATTGAGACTGTTCTGAGGGCAAAAGGGGGTGCAACTCAATATTAGGAAGGTGTTCCTAATGTTTTATACACTCAGTGAATATTGTGTACATATCCTGCAATAAATACACAATAAAAGTCAAACAAATAAAAAGTTATATCTCACAGATTGTTTTGGCCTACCTGATGTACCTCAGTCTGATGCTGGTAGGTTGTTATATCGCCATGTGAAGGCAAACTGTCAGAGATAGCTCCTCATCCTTCACAGATAGCTAATTAATGATATCCTGTAGCAAACGCTGTAGCCTCTCATGGATGTCAGAGAGATTCTCCAGTCCTACACTGTGTGGATAGGAAATACATTTTGAAACACAAAAAAACACAGACACTAATCTTGTACATATAAATACAGCATTTTTCCTCACAAATCATGTGAAAAATCATGTGAAAAGTTTGAAAGTGTGAAATCATTATGTGTGGTTGGTTAATGGATGTGTTTGAAATGTACTGTAGTGACTTCCTCCGAACACCGCACCAGACCAAGCCTACCAGCAACCAAGACAGACAAAGATGCCCTAGAGTTCATCAGTGACCCATGACCTGACCTCAGCCTCCAGAGCCAATCAACACCCTGACAGAGGCCACCTCTGAGCCCAGCAGTCTGAAAGATGGAACCCTCAAACGCTCAATCCAACATGGTAATGACAAGTAACACTCTTGCAGGGCATGTTTCCCTCTGTGCTATCTATGATTCAGAGCAACGTCTACTTTCTGTCAGTTCAAGGTCAACACCAGCAATCAAAATGCTAAATCCAGCCTGTCTAAGTGCTGTGAGAGTCAGTGGGGGTCCCTTCATGGTTCATGTGCCAATTAAAGCCTCCGAGATAAGCTGTGTGTTAGCACTAATTTCCCCGCTCTCCATAGAATTCTCACTGGTTCAATGAGTTCCATCCTCCTCAGTAGTGACAAAAACAACACAGCACAAACAAAGTAGCAATTTACCAAAATTGTAAACCATAAACAAACAGGAAAATATGGAATTGACAAACAGAGCCACAGTAACAGGTACAGAATGTCAGGGGCTAAATTAACAGATGGCAGATGATAAGTCCCATGATATAAACACATCTAGAAGGGCACATCACAGCACATTTGCTAAAGACAACACACCCCAGTTAAGGATACTGTGGAGTAAATGTCTATTATGTGATGTTACCATCACACAAATGCATCCTTCAATCTATCAGGGTTGAGTTTGACTTCTACTGGCATCACAGTAAAAAGCAAGATGGGTTGTTCTGTACTGAAGCTGAAAGCTAATGCCTGGGGAAACGCAGGGTTGCATCTCTCTCCTTCTGCTTGACTGGCTTATTTTATGTATTAATTAACCCAGAAACATCAGTCTTCGCTTCAGCGTACACAAGACACACACACACATGGACAGGCGCAACTGCATGCACGCAAGCAAGCACGCACACACACAGACAAGTACACACACACGCATACACACTACACAAATACTCATGTTCTTTGTGGACTCTTTTATAGACCCAAGCTCATATAAAGACACAACTCACGTACATAATATTATGCAAACACATTCATGCACAATACATTACATTACATATACCTCTTTAAGGAATACCTGGAATAGTATAAAGTAATCCTTCTACCCCCCCCTCCCCCACTCCCCCCATAAAAGAAAAAAAGTGGTTGTCCCACTGGCTATCATAAGTTGAATGCACCAATTTGTAAGTCGCTCTGGATAAGAGCGTCTGCTAAATGATGTAAATGTAAATGTAAATATGAATATGTGCATACATTACATACAGTTCATCCTAAGTATGTATGGTCTCTGCAGACCCAAGGCTAAGGATATCATTTCAGACAGGGCCCATCAACAGAGATACATCCTTTCTGCTCAGTGCTATACACTTTTCTCCAAGCATTAGGAATAATTCGTTATACACAAATCTTGCCTAATAAATCAGACTGTGATACCTCTGGGTACACAGTCTGAGACAATGCTATACATTTGTCTGGAAAATGTACTCTCACGAGATCTACAAGCCAGAATGTTGAATAAAATGTCATTTGAACTACCGGTTGTCTACCGGTTGTCTGTGCTGTTGGTCCTTATGCATCTACAAATTTGAGAAAAAATATCCACAGGATTATTAAACCGACTTTTCAAAACACTGGTATTGCCATTGAGAATTCTATCACCTGACATGTGCAAAACCATGTAAACACCTGCAAGACTTAGTATACACTTACGTCTTGTGCATGTGCCTCAAACAAATTGTGAGAGCCACACAAGGAGACCTGCGTTTTGAAGTCGGTTTAATAATACTTTCCTGTGGATATTTTGGCTAAAATTTTCAACGGCAGAAGGACAAAATCAGCAGACAACAGGTAGAGTAAGTTCAAATGAAGTTTATTCAACATTCTGACTTGTAAAGGGACTGTATACTAGAGACGAGTAAGGAGACACACTCGGATTCGAAAGAGGCAAACACAAACCTTCCGTTTGCACTGTCATACCTGTTGTTATGAGGATTATGTTGGACTTCCCTACACCAGAAACACATCTCACAGTCTTCACACTGCCTTCCCTGCTGGTTGGCTGGTCCTCTGCCGGACTGGTCCCCAGTACCCCCAGGACCCCCCCGGAACCCCAGGACCCGGCTGTGGCTCACACTGACACTGTGGCATGGAGAGGCATGCCCGAGCTAGAGGAGACAGCAGGGACACATGACAGTATAGTCAGATGGCCATTAAAAGACAGACAAATAGACACAAATACAGACACAAATCTGAGTGAATCTTACAAGTGATTTATTCCTGCAAACCATATGTTCTGACCTTTATGAATGGTTGTGATTCCCACTAAGCCACTGTTTACACTGCAGTAAGATGTGTCACTGCAAATAAGGCAACCATTCTATGAGACTTGGCATTACTGCATACTGGGTGTCATGCTCTCCAGCACTACTACCATAAGGCATGGATTGCCTGGAAAAACATAAAGTACCTGTGACAGACCTAACTTCAAGGGCAGTGACATTTGGCAAAATAGCCCAATTTCACACATTATACAGTTACAGTATGACACAATATCTCTGTAAAACAGGACTAAACAGAAAGAAGTCCCTTATCATAAATGGCCCTCTCACAATCTTAAAAACATAATTTTGGTAAGAATTGAGAACCTTGCCTATGGTTGTGAATTGAGTGATGTTTCCAAAGGAACATGGGGATTAGCTAGTGCGGGAAGAGCTCTGTTGCCTGACAAGAAGCAAGTTTGTCTCACACTGCCTGCTCTTTGATACGTGATCTGATACAAGCCTTTTAGATGCCATTTCCGGCATAGGACCAGAGCTTTTGAATGAGTGAAATGCCCTTAAGAATGAACATAAAAAAACATGTTGGCACTTATAACTGTGACCTAAGGAATTACATGACAGAATTTGTTTTGCCATTTATGCATATCTGCTGCTGTAACGGCAAATAAGTATTCATCATTATTTATTGATGAGCACACAACTCATTGCATAAAATTCCCTGAGTGAGATCTGATCTTCTCTGATCGAAATGGTTTTGTCAGCAGTTTCCACAATGGTGGTGGTCAACAAGTTGAATCAAGAGTTAAGTCTTTTTTCTACCTCCTAGAACGCCCAACAACTCAATAAACGATTGAACTTATTTTCCTTTTAGCCTCACCACTAGATAGCCTCAGACAGCCTCACCACTAGATAGCCTCAGACACAGTCTGCCTCTGACTCATTGACCTGTTGTAGCCCTATCACATCAGCTCTGGAATATTCTCCATTGAAAGGCCACTGATCACACACACACACACACACACACACACACACACTACAACACATGATTGGTATGAATGAACATACATAAACTTACAAACGATGACAACTACTTAGAAAAAAATGACTTGACAAAAGTGAACATCTATACTCACAGCTGAATCTTACCATTGTGCTGAAAAGCCCAGTGGCAGGTGGAGAAATTCCGTCGATCTACAGAGACGACAATGTTCCCAGGACCACCAAACGTCTCTGTGGCTCCTGAGAGACAGAACATCCAGTCTGCTCACTGCCACCCCGTCCTGCTGCATCACCCACAGCGCCAAAAGGGAGGAGAGAGATTGAAAAGCAAATGAAAGAGAGAAGCCAGCAGCAACGGAACCGACAAGGTAATTTCACATTAACTCATCCTCATCTTCACTGCACTCAAGTAGACATCCAGACAACAACACAAGCACAGTGACCTCCAGCGCCTTAGAGAGCAGGCTGGGAGAAGAGGGGAGGGGTGAAGAGGGGTGGGGGTAGCTGAATCACTGGGATATGTTCTCTATGGGGAAGGATTCACATGTGATGTGCTTAAACCAATATTACATCTCCTCTGTGGTGAGATGTCAAGTGGTGCTGGTGCCTTATGTTCATCAATAAGTAATGGGAAATAGTGAGTTTATCTTCATGTTGTAGCATATTATCATGCTATATGAAAGCTATTCACAGTTCAATGTTTAATCCTTCTTATGGCATAGTAGTACCCTTAGGTTATATGTCTATACAATCATTAGTTTCATGATGTACTTTTAAAAGACAAATTGAGTGGTCACTTAGTGGTCAAACATTGACTACCAGTATTTGAAATTTAGGGTGGAATGAAATCTATAAACTATGAAATGGCACCACCTGGTGCCTGGATAGGTACTTACTGTAACTGACTGGAGAAGAGTTGTCCACCACACACCACACCCCACTCCCCACTCAATACATGTCAGATGGCTACAACACAGATTACAAAATGTGTTAAACTATATTTTCTAATTGGTATGCTTTTTACACAGACAGTTTTTGTATGTTAATTAAATTATATCCCATGCCAGTTGAATGCCGGCTAGAATGATGCATGATACAGAATTATGTATTGTAAAAACCAACCTGCAGTGCAGCTAGTACCCCACAATGTGATACATGCATAGACCGTATATGGATACAGGTCTCAGCAGGTCTAAATGGTGTGTGACGTGAAGACCACTTAGGGCAGTCCAGATTTGCTTGAATAAAATATAATCTCTCTACGCTTCTGACCTATATCATACTTTCAGTTGTTCAACCTGCATGAATGTATATATTGACAATACCTTTGCAATGTTGCTGGGGGAACCACCAACATTTTTATATGCTTCTTAGACATACTGCTGACGAATACAGAGGCCTCAAATAGCTTCCGTTTGTCAGTGGCGTTGATTGGACAGTTCAATAGTCTGCTCTCCACTTGCCCAGTGCACACTGGTAGACGAGCTCGGATATTCTATTACACTTCAATGGAGGAACAGCCCAAAGATCGGGCACAAGAGAGACGATATCACCACCATGGAGAAGAAAGACACCCTATTCAATACAAAACATCTCTAAAAAATGATCAGCTCTACTTCCAGTACCAGCATCAGCAGGAAACGCAGACGAAGAAAACAGGTTGGGCCACCCGGAAAAGTTAGCAAGCTAGCTAATGTCAATGACTTAGCTAGCAAGCCAGTTTATTACCGACGTCGATGTAGCTTGCTAGTTCGCGTGACAGTCATAGCAGGATGGTAGCAAGCTGTTAAAAAATATTTAGCTGATTAGTTAGCTGGGTCTAGAGCTGAATATCGCTGGATAGGGGTAGTTAAACGTCGCGTGACAGCTGTCGCTGGTGGTTTGACAGATGGGGATTGACCTTGTGCGCCGGTTTCACCACCCATTTCTACATTTATGGTACTCCCTGACAATTCCCCTGTGTTACTAATTAGTCCTTTTGTTGTTCAATTATTTTGTCACGTGCATACATTGACTTTGTAAAAAAAACTCAAGCTAATTTGGTAGGAATTCCGTGAAATATTTTGAAAACAAAAACAAGCCGGCTCCACTGGAATGTTCTGAGTTGCCGTTTCCCGTCGGCCATGTTAGAAAATGCGAGATGGAAAGCTAACGTTAGCTAGTTAATCCTAACAACGAGAGTGAGATTTGTGCATAAAACAAGTTTCAATGTATTTTGTTTACTACCAACTGACTGCAGACAGGGCTGCAAAAGCAAGATGGCTAACTAACTTACTTTTGAGACTTTTCAGGGATTAAATAGCTAGTTAGTGCCAGAAATGTTTCACCTGCAAGCAGCTTCGGCTCGGTCGGGCCTGTTACGTTTAGTTAGCCATGAAGCCACGCAAACATGTTAGCCTGGGTAGATGACTTGAGGACATAGCATTGTCTTGCTAGCAAGCTGGCTGACTTATGGTATTTTGATTTTAATAAACAATTCAGAACCAATGTCTTATTGTTTTAGCAAACTACATGACTTGAAATGTAATTGTAGCCTCGCCAGTTTCTTTAGACTAGTTCAAACTTGATGTCATGCATGAAAACAAAATGGTACATACCTTGGCTTCAGTTCAGACAACACAATAGAACACCACTCTTAACACAATTTTAGAGTTATTCTGGTTGTAACATTACTTAAGATGTTATTTGTTCATCCATATTTTATAGAGGTATCTTAGGAGCAATGGCTAATATTTCATCTAGTTTAAAATGTTGTCTTTAGATGCTAGTGTGGCAAGTATTTGTTTTTATTGGCTAGCTAAGTCAAGCCCAGTTACACTGTCAACCACCTTCCCCTTATCAAAAGTTATAGGACAATGTAATGGTAATTTCTACCTACAGCACATTTTTCTTCAGTGATTTATGTATGGTATCTATTCACAAGTAGGCTATGGGACTACTATGTTTAAGGGAATCTGATCTGGGCACTGGTGTGTGGTTGTTTGCTGACCTATTCAGTCTAAATAGTCATGATACAGCATCATCTTAAAAAGGCCTTGCCATGTTTCCTGCAAAAGGAGCTGCGAGGTTGCATTCTTGTAAACAGATTAGGTCTGTTAGTCCCTTTTTTATATACACTGCTCAAAAAAATAAAGGGAACACTAAAATAACACATCCTAGATCTGAATGAATGAAATAATCTTATTAAATACTTTTTTCTTTACATAGTTGAATGTGCTGACAACAAAATCACACACAAATTATCAATGGAAATCAAATTTATCAACCCATGGAGGTCTGGATTTGGAGTCACCCTCAAAATTAAAGTGGAAAACCACACTACAGGCTGATCCAACTTTGATGTAATGTCCTTAAAACAAGTCAAAATGAGGCTCAGTAGTGTATGTGGCCTCCACGTGCCTGTACGACCTCCCTGCAATGCCTGGGCATGCTCCTGATGAGGTGGCGGATGGTCTCCTGAGGGATCTCCTCCCAGACCTGGACTAAAGCATCCTCCAACTCCTGGACAGTCTGTGGTGCAACGTGGCGTTGGTGGATGGAGCGAGACATGATGTCCCAGATGTGCTCAATTGGATTCAGGTCTGGGGAACGGGCGGGCCAGTCCATAGCATCAATGCCTTCCTCTTGCAGGAACTGCTGACACACCCCAGCCACATGAGGTCTAACATTGTCTTGCATTAGGAGGAACCCAGGGCCAACCGCACCAGTATATGGTCTCACAAGGGGTCTGAGGATCTCATCTCGGTACCTAATGGCAGTCAGGCTACCTCTGGCGAGCACATGGAGGGCTGTGCGGCCCCCCAAAGAAATGCCACCCCACACCATGACTGACCCACCGCCAAACCGGTCATGCTGGAGGATGTTGCAGGCAGCAGAACGTTCTCCACGGCGTCTCCAGACTCTGTCACGTCTGTCACGTGCTCAGTGTGAACCTGCTTTCATCTGTGAAGAGCACAGGGCGCCAGTGGCGAATTTGCCAATCTTGGTGTTCTCTGGCAAATGCCAAATGTCCTGCACGGTGTTGGGCTGTAAGCACAACCCTCACCTGTGGACGTCGGGCCCTCATACCACCCTCATGGAGTCTGTTTCTGACCGTTTGAGCAGACACATGCACATTTGTGGCCTGCTGGAGGTCATTTTGCAGGGCTCTGGCAGTGCTCCTCCTGCTCCTCCTTGCACAAAGGCGGAGGTAGCAGTCCTGCTGCTGGGTTGTTGCCCTCCTACGGCCTCCTCCACGTCTCCTGATGTACTGGCCTGTCTCCTGGTAGCGCCTCCATGCTCTGGACACTACGCTGACAGACACAGCAAACCTTCTTGCCACAGCTCGCATTGATGTGCCATCCTGGATGAGCTGCACTACCTGAGCCACTTGTGTGGGTTGTAGACTCCGTCACATGCTACCACTAGAGTGAAAGCACCGGCAGCATTCAAAAGTGACCAAAACATCAGCCAGGAAGCATAGGAACTGAGAAGTGGTCTGTGGTCACCACATGCAAAACCAGTCCTTTATTGGGGGTGTCTTGCTAATTGCCTATAATTTCCACCTGTTGTCTATTCCATTTGCACAACAGCATGTGAAATGTATTGTCAATCAGTGTTGCTTCCTAAGTGGACAGTTTGATTTCACAGAAGTGTGATAGACTTGGAGTTACATTGTGTTGTTTATGTGTTCCCTTTATTTTTTTGAGCAGTGTATTTGGAGAGTGAGGTGGTAGGGAATGATGGACTTTATAGTCTACACACCTATTACTGGCAGTGCAACTAACTTGCTTTTGTTTTCTTTTACAGGCAATGGAAAAATAAACACCAGTGACGTGGAGGGGGAGAAGATTCTGTCTGCAAATGATTTAGTTGGTATCCCTCATCCCACCAACAGCAATGGTAACAGACATTTGATAAACGCTAATGTAAAACAGAAGTCAACACGCAATGTTTTTACCACTTTTTCAAAAGTGGGCAGCAAAGAGGGTGTTGTTCATAAGAAGAATATGGACTGTATAAATGACAAGGACAAGGCCTTGGATTTCACTAATCACTACGAGGGAAAGTTTTTGGACAAAAAGGAGTCTGCATTGTTTCTGAATGGGGTGGTAAACTCTGCTCATATTACAAATGGTTACTCCAGCAAGTCACCCCCTGATAACGATGGCAGTGGCTCAGAAGGTGGATATACTACTCCTAAGAAACGCAAGGCCAGACGCAACAGCATCAAGAACACAGAGCATGTGACAAGAGAAAAGGAGAGAGCCATGCAGCAGGGCAATGCCACACAGGAGCCAGAGGTTTCTGGACTTGAACCAACAGAGAAAATGGTGAGCTCGCAACTTGTCCATAAAGCAGACGCCCAGACAGCAGTCAGGCGGATAGATGCTCCAGAGGTGGCTATGGGTGAACTGCAGAAGAAAAACTCAGACAGTAAGACTGCTGCAGGTGCCTTTGGTAAAAGGTTTGAGAATAGGCCCAAAGCCAAGCTCTCCTCCTCTTCAAAAGAGGACTCTTGGACTTTATTCAAGCCTCCTCCAGTATTTCCTGTGGACAACAGTAGTGCTAAAATAGTGCCCAAGATTAGTTATGCAAGTAAAGTTAAGGAGAACCTCAACAAAGCAGCCCAGGCTGGAGGAGAGGTACAGCCTCCTCAGGTGCCTGGTAGACTGTCACAGGTCCCCATGTCCGCTATGAAAACCATCATCTCCGCTAGCTTTACTAATGGCCCCGTTTCTGGAGATGGAAATAGTTGCCCGTCTGTTGGTACCTTCTTCACTCCTGCTGCTAGTAGTATTCCGCCAGCCCCCTCTCTCCCATGTGGGGAGAACGTAGCATCCACTTTGGACAATGACTGTAACTCTCTAACCAACCCTGCAGCAGCAGCTGTAGATCTGAGAAAGTGTACTCTTTTCATTTACCCCCTAAACCCTTTAAATATGCAACCTGTGCTCCCTAGTGCTCGCCAAGTGGACACCCAGGCCGCTCAGACAAATCAGAAAGCCTTGGGGGACATTTTCCAGAATCAGTGGGGCCTGTCTTTCATCAATGAGCCAAATGTGGGGCCAGAAGGAGGAAGTGGGCCAGTGGCTACTGTGGAGGGCAAGGATGTGGTGGTAACATTTCAAGGGGAGCAATGCCCTGCTGCCAAGCCAGGCCTTGACTGTAATCTATCAATCCCTGAGCCTTTGCCTCTCACTTTGGCTCAAGACTCAGAGAAAAGGACTAGTGCCCTAGCTTGCCCCCCTGCTACAGTGAAAGATGAGGATGGGGAAAAGGCTCAGCTGTCTAGACAGGACAAGACAAAGGGCGAGGCTAAGAGTCCAGGTGCAGTTTTGTTGGCCTCTTGTAAAGACATAAGTGCTGAGCCTTTCCAGGCCCCCCTGACCAACATGGTGTTGGGGCTGTCTAAAGAGCAGGCCCACTCTAAGAGCCTGGACAGAGGTAGCTGGGGGTCGTTTGATCTTAAAGCTGCTGTTACTTATCACACTAAAGGTAACTTCTCTTCCCCTGCTGTATCAATTCTATGAACATATGTATTACACATTAGTAGCTTTAACCTACTATTTCACTTGCACCAACAGTTTTAAATCCATTAGCATCACATTAAAGACAAAATGTGTCTAATAATAAAAGGTCTTATGCATCTGGAGATAATAATCAATCTTTGTTTTTTCTCTACAGAAATGGAATATGTTTTCAATTTGCAAAAACAAGGTAAAGTAAAAGGTCTCTTTTCTGTGTAGTGTATTTTTAAAGTTGTGAAATTGGGTTTTCTATTTGTTGTTCAAAGGTATACAGCTGAAGTTTGAATAACATGTATTATGAGTTGCTAACTAAGTTCCCCAGGGCCTACACTCAATTTCTGTCCTTTTCTTCCCCCAGATCCAAAAAGAGTAGTCTGTTATGACAAGACCAAGGATGGACCTGATCAGTGAGGTAGTGAATGTCAACAATTACATGTACCTTCTCCCTACCTGGGTGCTGCAGTTATCATCTTTGGTGGTTATGATCCCTTTGGAAAACAAAATCGAGTCAACTGTGATATTGGGACTGAAAGATGTGTCCTGTGACAAACTTTTATTGGAATAGAGGATGGGATAATGGGGATTCGTTTTTTGGGGGGTGCATCGGAGAAGAGGAAGAAGACAAGGGGAGATGTAATATGAGGACATATTAATCCAATTATTGGCATTAAGTTGAGCGCAGGAGCTTCTGCTGACGCTCTGGACTGCACAAAGACTCAAACACTTGAAAGAAAGAAATGTTGGGTGCCTCTCCCATGTGAATGGACACTTATGACACTTTCTGCTGTAATAGACATTGGTCTCATAGCTCCTTCCTCTGGGTGTTGGGGACAAATAAGACGGAGGAAGGCGCAAACTGCACCTCCCGAGCCTTTATCCTGTTGCCCATTGAAAAGTGGCGATTATCAGTCTGACAGTAGGATGCCTCAATCGTTTTATTTCCTCATGCATTGAAATTAGTCCAATATATGTAGATTTGTGTGTGTTATGATTTATTTATACACATCAGTATACAGTTGTAGTCGGAAGTTTACATACACCTTAGCCAAATACATTTAAACTAAGTTTTTCACAATTCCTGACATTTAATCCTAGTAAAAATTCCCTGTCTTAGGTCAGTTAGGATCACCACTTTATTTTAAGAATGTGAAATGTCAGAATAAAAGTAGAGTGATTTATTTCAGCTTTTATTTCATCACGTTCCCAGTGGGTCAGAAGTTTACATACACTCAATTAGTATTTGGTAGCATTGCCTTTAAATTGTTTAACTTGGGTCAAACGTTTCTGGTAGCCTTCCACAAGCTTCCCACAATAAGTTGGGTGAATTTTGGCCCATTCCTCCTGACAGAGCTGGTGTAACTGAGTCAGGTTTGTAGGCCTCCTTGCTCGCACACGATTTTTCAGTTCTGCCCACACATTTTCTATAGGATTGAGGTTAGGGCTTTGTGATGGCCACTCCAATACCTTGACTTTGTTGTCCTTAAGCCATTTTGCCACAACTTTGGAAGTATGCTTGGGGTCATTGTCCATTTGGAAGACCCATTTGTGACCAAGCTTTAACTTCCTGACTGATGTCTTGAGATGTTGCTTCAATATATCCACATAATTTTCCTTCCTCATGATGCCATCTATTTTGTGAAGTGCACCAGTCCCTCCTGCAGCAAAGCACCCCCAAAGCATGATGCTGACACCCCCGTGCTTCACGGTTGGGATGGTGTTCTTCGGCTTACAAGCGTTCCCCTTTTTCCTCCAAACATAACGATGGTCATTATGGCCAAACAGTTCTATTTTTGTTTCATCAGACCAGAGAACATTTCTCCAAAAAGTATGATCTTTGTCCCAATGTGCAGTTGCAAACCGTAGTCTGGCTTTTTTATGGCGGTTTTGGAACAGTGGCTGTTTCCTCCAGCATCTTCACAAGGTCCTTTGCTGTTCCTCCAGCATCTTCACAAGGTCCTTTGCTGTTGTTCTGGGATTGATTTGCACTTTTCGCACCAAAGTACGTTCATCTCTAGGAGACAGAACGCGTCTCCTTCCTGAGTGGTATGACTGCTGCGTGGTCCCATGGTGTTTATACTTGCATACTATTGTTTGTACAGATGAACGTGGTACCTTCAGACGTTTGGAAATTGCTCCCAAGGATGAACCAGACTTGTGGAGGTCTACCATTTTTTTTCTGAGGTCTTGGCTGATTTCTTTTGATTTTCCCATGATGTCAAGCAAAGAGTCACTGAGTTTGAAGGTAGGCCTTGAAATACATCCACAGTTACACCTCCAATTCACTCAAATGATGTCAATTAGCCTATCAGAAGCTTCTAAAGCCATTACATCATTTTCTGGAATTTTCCAAGCTTTTTAAAGGCACAGTCAACTTAGTGTATTTAAACTTCTGACCACTGGAATTGTGATACAGTGAATTATAAATGAAATAATCTGTCTGTAAACAATTGTTGGAAAAATTACTTGTGTCATGCACAAAGTAGATGTCCTAACCGACTTGCCAAAACTATAGTTTGTTATAAAGAAATTTGTGGAGTGGTTGAAAAACGAGTTTTAATGACTCCAACCTAAGTGTATGTAAACTTCCGACTTCAACTGTATGTGCACATTTGAATACATTTTAAAAGAAAATGAAGTATATATTCTAAGAATGCCTTGAAATTTGCAAAATTGGAAGATTACGAGAAGGCTGGTAGTATTGGTAGTCCTGTTAGGCTGCAGGTTAAATTATAAATATATTTGTTGAGAGAACGCATTTGTCTTAATTACTTTAGTGAAATAACTATGCCCAGCAAAGACCCGACTGCTGGGTATCTGTTGTTTTGACAACTATTTTAGTTTGTCTTGTATGGTTTAGCGATTTCAGATGTGATCTACAGTAGGAACAAACTCCCAGAGCACAGATAGAGACGTGTCAAATTAAAATGAAACTAAAGCCATGTCATAATCTTGTGGTTCGGTTGTCAGTTTTTGGTAGCTGTGCTAATCAGTAAAAAAAAAAAATGTTTCGGTATTAATTGTCTTCATCTGAGTTTAGCTTTATTTTTAGTTTTATTTCTTCTTAAACCCTTGCAGTTTCAGTATACATATTTCATTAATTAATTGAGATTAAGATTGATGTAGGCTATTCCTTAATTTTAGTTGTAGGTTCTCTTGAGCTTTTCACTTGATTGTTGGAGTTTTCGGGAAGATGAGAAAAGTGACATTGTGGAGCAAGGGCTATCTATGTATGTGATATTTCAAAAAAAAGAGTGAAATCATCAGTAAGGAGGTTCAAGATGTCTGTCTAATTCATTAGGCCTTTCTAGGCTATATTTAAGCAATAAGGCACGAGGGGGTGTGGCAAATAGCCAATGAATTACGCACAACGCAACGCGGATTACCTGGATACAGCCCTTAGCCGTGGTATATTGGCAATATACCACAAACCCCCGAGGTGCCTTATTGCTATTATAAACTGGTTACCAACATAATTAGAGCAGTAAAAATAAATGTTTTGTCATACCCGTGGTATACGGTCTGATATACTGCGGCTGTCAGCCAATCAGCATTCAGGGCTCGAACCACCCAGTTTATAATCGCTGACACCACATGGAGAAATTACTAATTTCCTATTTTCTTGCTCAAGCAATTTGCGTTTGATTTCCTAACCAACCTATTCAGCGTAGGATACTTTGTGCCATTTCAGCATTTGGTCTTTAATCTCTCTCTAGTTATTATGACAATGTATTTCTTGCACATGTTTACTGGTGTGGATGAGATGTGAGAAGTTGCAGTATAGTATAACCAAGCAAAGATTACAGACAGTAAACAATCGCAATACTAATCATTTCATGTCCCAGACCATCCGCTCTTTGTTATACTGTGTGTAGAGAATTGGTGGCGATGATGTTTCATAATACCGTATCATCGAGTTAGTGTCTTTGATCAAAGTGACTGTCAAGAGGCCTAAACATGTCAAGGTAGGCCAAATTTGGCAATACAATGAGTGGACAGCCACGATGTCATTGGTACTACCATCTCGCTCTCAGTTGGGTTTTTGGTTTTGAGCTAAGGAAGGACATTTCTTAGTTTATTTTCTCTAGCATAAATTATTTGGTTGTGTGGATTAATAGCACTTTATTTAACTAATTGTTTTTTATCTTTCAACTACTACAGATACAGATATTCTCTCTCTGTATGTATGTATGTGTGTGTGTATGACATACTAACTTCTTCTTTTAAGAATGGCTTTGGGCTTTTCTTTTTAAGAAAAATAAATTCATAAATACCGAAATACAAAATGTCACTCAGGTAGCATTGGTAAAGCCATGACAAAGTTGCAACAATGTTGTTTTCTGCCAAATGGTTCATAACAAGATCCTCGTATTGTGCTCAAATTTGAATTGCTAAAATATTGAATTGGAGTCATATTTAATAATAAACTACAGAGCTGTGTTAAAATACCAAAATATTTAGCTTGTAGAAAACACTGACATGGCTTGCAAGCAGCTGCCATACATGTTATGTAGGCTTCAAACCTTTTTTTAAAGTTCTCTGTTTAGGCAATTTCACTTTAATAAGCACACTGATTTGCACCGGTTTCCACCTGTTATTGGACAGTGTGATCTTTTACTGTCCTTGATTCTTTTGTCATTCATGGGCTGAAGCACTTCTCTGTGTACCAGTCCAGGTTATATGCAATGGCAGGAATCTATGTCTGTGCTTCCTAGTCCAGCCCTCTCTTGGGTTTTCTGGTCACGTCATGGCTTGTTCTTGCAGACTGAGAGGGAACTACAAAAAGGTAACGCATACCCCTGATGTGTACAAAACTGTGTCTCACACACACTTAAAGGGCAATTCCGCCACTTCAACCTCATTCATTATCTCCAGCACCATACCAGTGGCTACATATGTGAAAACGCATGTTTCTATGATCTGTGGTTAAGAAGAAAGGTCCTAACAAATGCTTCTCTGTGACATCACAGGGTAGGATTTAAAAGTAAGAAAAACAGAGTTTCTAGCCAGAGGGAGGGTATTTTCTGGCTCAACACGTCATCGTGAATCTCATAGGGTTTGAAAATCAGTTTGTCATCGGGTATAACTTTTTAGTAATGCACCATTTTCACATGTAGACACTGGTATTGTGCTGGAGATAATGAAAATGGGGTTGAAAAGTGGTGAAGTTGCCGGTTTAAGTTACTTCACTGTGGAATTCTAAGCCAAGGATAGACCTCTGGGATGTGGTATTTAAAACCTTTAGTTTTTCTTCCATTATATGCAGTATGTGGAATAAGTGTTATCAGTTAGGTAAACTCCAATCAAGAGCAAAATAATACCTTATTTGGCTAATGCTGGACAATGGCGAATAGATCTGTTTTATTTTGTCTTTATCGGCAGTGGGAATTGTTTTTGTGTGATGGACAACCAAGTTTGAGTAGTTTGCAATGGTGACATTGTACTTTTGAATTTTCAATGGTGACATTGTACTGGGTTCCCCTAAATATTGGAATAGAAAACAC